ATTTTGCCTGAAACTCTCAGACTGAAGAAGTCTCTTGGAAGAGAGACGAAACGTTTTATTAGAGAAGAACCCGTCCAGAAGACCTATACAATTTTTTTCTTTTTGTAAGAATACAAAGTTATGAAACTAGGAAAGAATAGTAATATCTGGTATGTATTTCACATCTTCCATTGCTGAGGTCACTACTATGTGTTTCTGTATTTCTATCTTTTACAGATGGCCGCCATGAGCGTGTCATGTTCGATAAAATCACCTCTCGTATCCAGAAGCTTTGCTATGGCCTGAACTCTGAGTTTGTGGACCCGGCTCAGATCACCATGAAGGTGATCCAAGGTCTGTATAGCGGCGTCACCACCGTGGAGCTCGACACGCTAGCAGCTGAGATTGCTGCCACGCTGACGACCAAACACCCCGACTATGCCATCCTCGCTGCGAGGATCGCTGTCTCAAACCTGCACAAAGAGACCAAGAAGGTGTTCAGCGACGTGATGGAGGACCTGTACAACTACATCAACCCTTTGAACCAACGCCACTCCCCCATGATCTCCAAAGACACGCTGCACATCGTTCTGGAGAACAAAGACCGCCTCAACTCCGCCATCATTTATGACAGAGATTTCTCCTACAACTTCTTCGGATTCAAGACTCTGGAGCGCTCCTATCTGCTGAAAATCAACGGCAAGGTGGCCGAGCGCCCGCAGCACATGCTCATGAGGGTGTCTGTTGGGATCCACGGGACCGACATCGAAGCGGCCATCGAGACGTACAATCTGCTGTCAGAGAAGTGGTTCACTCACGCCTCTCCGACTCTCTTCAACGCAGGAACCAATCGGCCGCAGCTGTCCAGCTGCTTCTTGCTCGCCATGAAAGACGACAGCATCGAAGGCATCTACGACACCCTGAAGCAGTGCGCCCTCATTTCCAAGTCTGCCGGAGGCATTGGCGTAGCGGTCAGCTGCATCAGATCCACTGGGAGCTACATCGCCGGTACCAACGGGAACTCCAACGGGCTGGTTCCCATGCTGAGAGTTTACAACAACACCGCTCGCTACGTCGATCAAGGTGGCAACAAAAGACCCGGGGCCTTCGCCATGTACTTGGAGCCTTGGCATTTTGACGTGTTTGACTTCCTAGAGCTGAAGAAGAACACTGGCAAGGAGGAGCAGAGAGCCAGAGACCTTTTCTATGCCCTGTGGATCCCCGACCTGTTCATGAAGCGAGTGGAGAGCAACCAGGACTGGTCTCTGATGTGTCCCAACGAGTGTCCGGGGCTCGACGAGTGCTGGGGGGAGGAGTTTGAGAAGCTGTACACTACATACGAGAAGGAAGGGAGGGTGAAGCGTGTGGTGAAAGCTCAGCAGCTTTGGTACGCCATCATAGAGTCCCAGACGGAGACCGGAACGCCGTACATGTTGTACAAAGACGCGTGCAACAGGAAGAGCAACCAGCAGAATCTGGGCACCATCAAGTGCAGCAACTTGTGCACGGAGGTCGTGGAATACACCAGCGCCGACGAGGTGGCAGTTTGCAATCTGGCATCCATCGCTCTCAACATGTACGTCACGCCTGAGCGCACTTATGACTTTAAAAAACTGGCATCTGTGACCAAAGTGATAGTCAAAAACTTGAACAAGATCATTGAAATCAACTACTACCCGGTCCCCGAGGCCGAGATGTCCAACAAACGCCACAGGCCGATCGGAATCGGAGTCCAGGGTTTAGCAGACGCCTTCATCTTGATGCGTTACCCCTTTGAAAGTCCGGAGGCTCAGCTGCTCAACATCCAGATGTTTGAGACCATCTACTACGCCGCTCTGGAGGCCAGCTGCGAGCTCGCGGCCAAACTGGGCCCCTACGAGACGTACGAAGGCTCGCCCGTCAGCAGGGGCATCCTGCAGTACGACATGTGGGACAAGACGCCGACTGACCTGTGGGACTGGAAGCTGCTGAAGGAGAAGATCGCCAAGCACGGCGTGAGAAACAGCCTGCTGCTGGCGCCGATGCCCACGGCGTCCACCGCCCAGATCCTGGGCAACAACGAGTCCATCGAGGCGTACACCAGCAACATCTACACCCGCAGGGTCCTCTCCGGAGAGTTCCAGATCGTCAACCCTCATCTGCTCAAAGACCTGACGGAGAGGGGGCTGTGGAACGAGGAGATGAAGAACAAGCTGATCGCCAACAACGGCTCCATTCAGGTGATGAGAAACTTCACATTTACAGACGTTTACTTTTTTCTTTTAAGCTGTATTAAAACAAGCTGGATTGTTTTTATCTTATTTTGACAGGACATCAGTGAGATCCCTGCTGATCTAAAGCAGCTGTATAAAACCGTTTGGGAAATCTCCCAGAAGACTGTGCTAAAGATGGCTGCCGACCGTGGCGCCTACATCGACCAGAGCCAGTCGCTGAACATCCACATCGCAGAGCCAAACTACGGCAAACTGACCAGCATGCACTTCTACGGCTGGAAGCAGGTGAGTTACCTGAGGCAACGAGTGGAGGTGGGGGGGAACTAAAAGCAACGACTGACTCTGCTGGTTCTCTCATCGCAGGGCTTGAAGACAGGAATGTATTATCTTAGGACGAAGCCCGCCGCCAGCCCGATCCAGTTCACCCTGAACAAGGAGAAGCTGATGGAGACGCAGCGGAGCAAGGCCTCGGAGCAGGAGATGAAGGAGAGGAACAAAGCTGCCATGGTGTGTTCTCTGGAGAACAGAGACGAGTGTCTCGCCTGCGGGTCTTAACACGACGTGCCTGATGATGATGTTCTCATCACTCCAGAAACAGTTCACTTCGTTCATGCTTGCTAAAATGTACAGAACAAAACTTTTAACCGCACAGAACAAAAGATCGTTTTACAGGAATGTATTTTTATGTTTTGAAATAAACCTGTTTTTTAAAAATAAAAAGTTGTTTGAGTTAACCAGTGTTTAATTTAGATCTGAAGAAATTTCTTATGGAGGTTAGACTTCAGTAGTAGAATCAATCTGAAATGCTAAATGTTAATCAAATTCTTTTCTAGAAATGGTTTTCCAAATACCGTCTCAAATAGAGGTTCTAATGTTTATTTGTAGGTATATTTTTGATGTTTCTAACTTCAAATAATTTGAATTTTTAATAAAGAGGAATGCTGTTTTTAAAAGACATCCATATAT